GAGTACAAATCCCATTTATCCATCACAAAAAACACTTGCTCAAAGTAACATCCCCGCAACGGTTACAATTTACAGTGGTCACAGCCAGAGAAGCACCAGCTTTGCTCAGAAACGTCCAATATGTGGCCTATTGTTCCATTAGCTCATCAGTGTTACAGCTACATGTAGCAAAAACATGTGTTTAACAGCTTGCAAACAGAAAATGCTGAACGTTCAAGGACCTATTTGTAAGTTTTGCTATTGCTACATAGCTAACGTTAGCATTAACAGCTGTTTACTTACCAGTCTTGGCATAAACTTCAGCGTCAAGCCAAGAGATTATAATACATCCTCTGAACTGAGGCTAGCTGGTTAGCATGCTAACATAAATAGAAGAAAATAAGTGATAGTAATAGAAGCAAAACAAGAGGGTTGCTTTCGACTGCTAGAGACAGCTGTCAGTTTGACGCTGAACTCGTAAGTAAACAGCTGTTAATGCTGATGACTATGTAGCAATCACAAAACTTACAAATAGCTCCTTTAAATGAATGAATGAATGAATGACATCCAAATACTGAGCTTAGCAGTACCCTGAGTCCTGTTCTGACCATCAGGAACCGATAACAATTTAAGACCTCTACATAAATCCAACCTTATCCTTAACCCCAACCAATTATTTCCGCTACTTCTAACCATGACCTAACCTGAGCCCTAACCCCAACCACAGAGAGGCGGGGCGGTACGGGAAACACCCTTCTAACAGAGGGGAAACACTACTGAAGAGGGGAACAGCCTTCTGGACAGTACCAGTCCTTGGTACTCATTCCTCTGAGTCATGATGAGATGAGCAACGGTGTAAAGGAAACAGTTCAAACTGTTGAGTAATGCAGAGACTGCACGGAGCAGACAGCGGAGCAGATGTCGCACCCTGTTGAGCTCCTCTTTGATAAAATATGTGGACAATAAAGACGGATCACCACTCCGCCAGATGTGGATGATGTACGACTCAAATATTCTGCTCAGACAAATAAATGTCATAACCATCATCATCACCGCTATCACCGTAAATAACATCTATACCTGTGGTTTGGAATATTTATTTTCCAGGGAGCCACATTTTCATAGACTCACGGAGCCAAACTACATCTCACAAGGGGAGACTTTAATCTGGAAAACATCCACCGAGAATCCGTGAAGCTCAACAGACACATATTGGAATAATTAGTGAAATATGGCCTCCAGGACCTCATTATGGAGTATGTAAAGTCATCACAATACTGTATATGTCTGTTTCCCTCCTCACATTTACTCACAAAATCAGCACCAGTCCAAAATCCAAAAGATATTACATTTTCTGAGTTACTGTGGGTTTTATCATCAAAAAGGTCCATTCATTGGCACCCTGATGGCCAAATGGTTAAGGTGCATACCACATAACCACATCACCACAACATCCAGCTGAGGGCTTTTATTGCATGTCATACCCTCTCTCTCTCTCTCTCTCTCCAGGATTCCTGTCCTTGTCTCTGCACTGTGACTGCCAAACAAAGGCAAAATGCCAAAAACAAAACTATTAAAAAAAGAAAAATTCACTCAATCAAACAAACATCAGTTGTTTTCAGTCTGGCAGTCAGCCACATGGAAAGACTTGAAAAGATATGATGTTTGAAAACAGCCAAATACCATCAGATGGAGTTAGAAATAAAAGAAAGATTATATTCTGCTGAACTGCAATGTCAAAAGGGGACGAATGACATCAGTCAGAAAAACTGCTTCACAGTGTCGAGGGATCTGCTGGACTGTTGTCAGTTTGTGAATCACATGTACTAGAAGCAAGGATCGCCTCATCCAACCCAACCCAACCCAACCCTGTGAACTACCAGCAAATATTCAACAAACACACACCCACCCCACCCTCCACCCTGCTGCAGCGCAGACCCAGAGAGGGGAATGTTTTCACCATGAGAAATGGGTGCACGGTGTCACTGCCTTGGCCCCAAAAGTCTGAGAAGTTCACCCTCCACTTAAATGGCAGCCAGGAAAAACTGACGAGACAAACATGAAAAGCACAGACGTGTCCTGAAGTCTGCTGCGGGCCGAGGCCACAAGCTGCTTTTTTACAGCGCTGCAATACGAGCTGCAGAAGATAAAAAGCACCCAGAGGATCCCATTAAACGAGAGGCCGAAAGGCTGGTTTCCTCCAGCCCTGAACATATACAATGTGTGTTGTATGTAGAGTCTGATTTACAGAGCCCGGCGGGCAGAGAGAAGATTCCTGTGACGCTGCGGCTGTTAACAACATACACAAAAATAACATTTCCACCGGTTTCCACTTCAGAAGCACTTCACCGGACACATGGTCAACACATTGTGGCACTGGATCACAATTTTTTTAGTTTTCCACTTCCATTTTGAACATGCGAGATGTGCAATGTAACCATGGCAACAGCAGAGGTAATGCAACCAGTGTCAACATCAGCAGCAGCAGTAAGACAAAGTTATATTCTGACATATTTTCCGAGGACACCAGATCTTTCTGCATCTTCCTCATTGTCTTTGTTCTCCATTGTTGATGCTTTTTTCTGACTCTTCACCTTTATTTTGTTTGTTTACAACAGCTGGGTTTCACTGAGCGTTGACCCCAGGTGTTGTTCATCTGACCCAAGTGTTTTCTTTGAGGACGCACACACAGCAAAGGTGTAGACAAGTACAAAAAAGGCTGGATCTCAGGATGTTCTGGTGGTGGTGGTGCCGTCAGAAATCTGCTGGGTCCCATGACAGGCGACATCATTCTCAAGTCCTGACCCACAGTATCTTTAATCTGACCCAGTGCATCTCTAAGGGTGTTTTCACACCTGACCAGACCGAACCAATCGCACTGTCACCCTTTGGAGGAGGTGGTCTCGGTCTGGTCCCAAACAAACTCTGGAGCGGTTCGTTTTGGGTGAGAAGGAGTTCTGAACTCGATCCGACCCCACTAGCAGGTGAACTCACAAGTTTGAACTTCACAGTTCCTGCAACATTCCTCCTGCGTTTCCTGCTCCAGCCAGACAATCTCACCAATCAGAGGAGGGAACGTTCTCACATGGTTTTACTGTGGTTTTACTAAACTAATTTACAAACTCATCAACAGAATCAGACCAGAGCAAACCAACGTTAGGTGTGAAAACATCCTAAGCTGCTTTTAACACCCAAGCAAAGAGCAGATACCCGGCGGCAGCTAGTTACTTCTTACATCAGAGGTTTTACCACTCTTTCTTGAGTCATACAGTTTAAAGGTGGACTTGGTCGGAGTGACCTGGAGACGAGACCCATGTGGCCAAAATATTCCAATAGTGACATACATCTAGTAAATCTGGTTGCCAGGTGGGTCAATGTCCCCCCATGAGCGAGCCAAATTTGGCTGCCATATATGTGCCACATCCGGTTCTCATGTGGTCCTCCAGAGCCAGAACAAAGCTGACACTGAAGCCAGACTGAGGGTCCATCAGCCGTCTTACAGCGTCTCTGTCAGGTTTCATATGTTTAGTGGCTCAGTGGTTCTCAAGTCAGGGAGCACCTGAACACAACACCTTTAAATGTCATTAGGAAGTGAGAGTGTTATTGTGTTCGACCACCCACATCATCCTAGTTAAACCAACTTTTTCCAAGAAATAAAGGGTCATTTACAGTAGAAGAGCTCCATGGAGAGCCAGGCTGAATCTGGATCTCCCATATTCTGTTCCAAACCTGATTCAAAATCACAAAAACATTTCTAATAACTCAAGATAACTAATAATTCAGCCCCAGAATGTGATCTTACTCAATGTAGAAATAAAGATTAAGCCAACAAAGAGGAAAACTTTGACTTTACTCATGGATCTTTGAATATGGACAATAAACATAAAGATCAGTGGAGGAAAAGGTGAATGAACGACTACAGGTAGTAAAGGACTTGAATGATCAAGATTAGGTTTCACTAATTTAATTGAACCTGACATTGAACACAACGATCTAAGCAGCTGCTTAGCGCTCTCAGGGACCAAGGGACCCTAAATCCTGCATAGGGCCTCAGAAAAGCTTGTGTCTGCCCTGCATTATATGAAGAACCGCTTTACAACTTTAATTAAAGTTATATGTTCAATGTGTGTGAAGACTGTCCCAGCCAGTAAACACCCTCCTGATCCCTCTTATTACACAGACTTGGAGCCTGTGTGACTTGGTCTCACATGTAGCATCCACCTGTTGTGGAGCATGTGCACCTGCCCTCTCCGTCTCATTTATACAGTAAAATAGAGGAAAAGCATCTTTTGTCCTCTCTGCATATCCGCCCATGGACACACCCAACAGCAGAGGAGCGGAAAGACAAAAGGGGGGGGGAACAGGACTTGGCATTCTGGCCTCACCCTATTACTTTTGTCTCCCCTGCAGGACTGGAAAGGCTTGAGTGACCGGATCAGCCTGAACAGCATTAAATCCCCTCCTGACTTCACTGTCTGCCAGACACACGCAGTGCCCAGGGAGAGGTGGGGAATTTGTTTTATGTGGAAACTAGGAAACCACCCTGACAGGTTTCTGAGGAATCACTTCTCTGGAGACAAGTTGACCAGCTGTGTGTGTGTGTGTGTGTGTGTGCGTGCGTGTGTTTCCAGAGAAACTCTCAGTTGAGTGAAAACACAAGATGACACACTGATCCTCACTGATCAGGACAGAAGCTGAAATTCATTGATTCATCTGAAGCGCAAAGAGAAAGATAAAAAAAACGCGCGCTTCTTTGATCGATTTGATGATTTCCACTTATCACTAATAATCAGACACGAAGCTCCAAAATAACACGCGGCCAGAGACGTGGAAGTTCGCTATGAAAACCCCAGAGAGAGAGAGAGAGAGAGAGGCAGACAGGCTGATGTGTTTCCGCGGTGTTTCATGAACCGCGGTGAGAGCGCGGCGCGGCGCGTCCTCTCCTCGCCGCGCCGTGCCGCACAGCACCGCGCCGCGCTCCCACCGCGTCGCTCCAAAATCCGCGTGTTTTCATGTCTTACCTTTGATGTAAGTGGATTTGTTGTCATCCAGCAGACTGGACGCGGAGACCCCCATGGTGCTGCTGCCGCGAGAGGATCCACAGGTAGGGTTCAGTCCTCAGGTACAAACACCGTCACATCGATCTGCAGCGGCAACAGTGAAGGAGGGAGGGAGGGAGGGAGGGAGGAGACACACGCCCTCCCTCTTCCTCCTCCTCCTCCTCCTCCTCTGTACACTGTCATTCGCTGACGCTTAGCCAGAAAAGCCAGCTCACTTTTTTTTATCCCCAAAGGCGCCTGATAATCACCCATGATGCTCTGTGAGTTGAATTAGGGCTGAAGCTAATGTAATGTAACAGCCCGACTCCCTTCAGTTCATTTCCTCTGACAGTGAGTTAGATTAACACAAACGAACTAAATAAACTGTAATGATGAGACACTTGAATTTAAAACTAATACTTCATTCATCCACTGAAATAACAGGAACAACTTTAACTTCCAATTAACATGTTGCAATGTTCCCTTAAAGGGGAAATCCACTGATTTAAATATGAAATGTATTTCACTGCTGCCAGGTGGATAATGAGTCCTCTGTGGCTCTGGTGGAGTCATTCATTCAGTCATTTCATTAAATATGGCTTTTAGTCATTAGTCACTTTATTTTTTTCACATATTTTATCGTAATTATGTTCTAAATTGTATTTTATTCTATTTGACCTATTCTATTATTGTATTTTATCTGCTCTTTTATTATCAATCTTTTTGTTTTTTGTTTGCTAATGTTATTATAGCTTTTTAAATCAATTTTATTGTATCTCATTATGTTTGTATCTCAGCTTTCTTACTTGATTTGTCCTTTTTTTTCAGCTTATCAGTCATCTGTGAAGCTCTTTGAACTGCATTAACCTGTGTGAAAAGTGCTATATGAATAAAGTTTGATTGATTCAAAGAACAGGCAGAACAAAAAGGAATAAAAAAATAAATGCAAAATAAATGTAATAAACATAAACTAAGAGAGATGAGGGATAAAAATTATATTTTAAATATCAGTATACAGTTTTACAGTTTAACTATCAAGGGTTCTTGATCTCGAAGGACATTTGTTGGACTATTTGCACACATGAATGTGACGTTTACACAGTATAATAATCAAGAGATATGTGAACGTGAGTATTTTCAATTTAAAGGGTTTTCAAAACACACTCGTGTGTGTGCAACACAGGAACAGAAAAAACACAAGGGTTCATTGATGTAAATGCACCTACCAGGTAAACATCTCTGTTTTAATCTTAAAGTTAAAGTCTCTTTAACCTTTGGAGCAACAGGGTTTTTCAGATAAGAAGTGTTTCAACTCTGCAGAGTTTGCTCAAGAGAATATCCCACAATGCAATGTGCTGTGACGGTAGAATGCGTTACAGGATTTTCTCTTAACAGAACTGAGCAAAGCATCACTTATTTAACTATGTACAATGTGAAATATCAGCCTGTTGCCTTACACACATACTTGTTAGTGAGTTTTCTTTTGTTGTCTGTTTGGGAACTGGTGTAAAAACCTCATTCTCAAACCTCAATCTCTGATTAATGAGAATGAAATCTTTACTTCCCACCAATGATGTTAATGCGACTAAAATAACTTTGCCAAGAGAAACATCAACCCTGAGCACAGACTGTTTCAAACTGTGGGTGTGAATTTTCTCAGTAAATAATAATTATAATAATGATAATCTTTAATTATAGAGCTAAAGTGCTTAAAAAAAGGCTGCAATAAATTAGGATAACAGGTTAAAATCAATAGGTTTAAAAGAGCAGAAAAACATAAAACAATTAGGTGTATAAAAACCCCAAAATACAGAGTAAGGTTAAGAGAAATAAAACACTTCAAGGTAAAGGAAAACCAGGAAAAGCTCACAGATAAACATGTGTTTTAAGAAGAGATCTAAAGGAGGTCACAGATTCACCCGACCTGATTTCCTCAGGCAGATCATCCCAGAGCCTCAGCGCCCTGACTGTAATCACAGAAGAATCACAGAACATTCTGAGCAACCAGAGGAACCAGCTAATAATTCAGTCTTTGCAGACAAGATTTTTATTATGTTTTTAAGACAAGAGACAAATTAAGACAATAAAACAGCTAGAAAAAAAAAAACTTGTATTATAAGGATTTTTGAGAGAAATCGGAAATAAATAGAGACACTGTTGATAAACTGGGCTCAGGATCAGTTTGGTTTGCAGTTTGAATAAAAATCCACATCAGTTTTGGTTTGATTAAAGAGTTTCTACTTTGTTCTAATAAAAGCTCGTCCAGAGCGAAAGCAGTTGGTAGTTTCTTTATGATGTCAGTGCAGTCAGAACTTGAAGGAACAGCAGGGGTGCAGTCAAACTGAGACAAACCAAGAACGGAATGATTTTCGTTGGTTGTCTCCTCTCTGCTTGGTTCTCTCACACCGTCTTCTCCGTGCTCACGCTCGTCTGCGTGGCGGTGGCGTATGTGGGGACGCTGTACTTGGTGAGGACGGATTTAAACTGCTCCAGCGTGGCATCAGTTCGAACCCCCGTCGGGTCGAAGTGAGTCCGACTCACCCTGAAGCCGGCCTCTGTCAGGTACTGAAGGAACTTGTTCAACCTGTACAGAGAAATAATGTTAACATCACAACATGTTCCTGGGGTTTAATGTCTGTGTTCAAAGCTGAAGCACCTGAAGTTTGTTTTCAGGGATTTCAGTTTTCCTCCAGAATGTTAAAGGCTCGTTCTGGTGTTTGTCTCAGACCCGAACCAACAGTGTGTTCGTCTCTCAGCACTTTCTGATTTGCCTCCTCTGTCTGTGACTCTCATTGGTTCCTTCTGAAGACACTTTAAAAACACCTCACAAATATATTGTTTCACTTTTTAAAAAGGCAAAAGTGCATTTATTGGCGACTATTTTTTTTAGCAGCAGATTAGTCCACTGTATTTATAAAATTTCTAAAACAGTCTTAGCAACCACTGACAGAGCTTTACACTGCGAGTCACCCATTCACACAGCTGTATATGCACATCTATATATATATGGTGCGTCTTTATCACACATACACTGATGGTACATGTGGAGAAATTTGGGGTTCAGTCTTTTGCCCAAAGAGACGTTGCAGACTGGGGGAGCCGGGAATCGAACCACCGACCTATCCATTAGCGGACAACCTGGTCAACCCTCCTGACCCACAGCAGGAATCTGACATATCAGGCTTTTATACACACACAGTTCTTGTTAGCAGGAGACATTTGTTGGTTTGACCCACAGTATCTCAAACGAGCCCATTAGCTACACTTCTCGTCACAGTGCAATCTGTGAAACCTCCACTGCACTGAAACAGTTCCAGCAGTGGGACACTAGAAACTGACATCCTGTACAGTGGACTAGAAGTCAGAGGTCACTTACTTGGGCATGTTCATGCCTCTGATGCTGTGGCGGTGGATGCTGTAGTAGAAAGGCGGGTGTTCCAGAGACGCATCAGACTTCAGCTTCTTCACTACATTCCCAGACTCCTCTCCGGTCTTCCTCTTCCCTGCAGAGAAAAGACCCAATATTAAATCTGAACAGAAAAGTAAGACATGTCAACCTCTGAAACACTGCTAAACCCACTGGTGTCTCCACCGTCACAAACTCACAATGTTGTTCAAATCCACAAAACTTTATTTTACGATCTAGTGGAGATTCTAAAGTTTTAAAAAGATACAAAATATCTGAGGTTGAATCTGGGGAATTGTGTGTAAAAAGATCTAAAAAAAAAAAACAAAACATTTTTTGTGATGATGCAGCCATAAAAAACAAAGTCTTAAAGGATAGCTGGGTCACACTGCCCTCCAGAGGACAGAGGTTAGAGCTACAGGAACAGTAACAGGTCTGTCCGAACAGGAGACCTGCAGTCAACCTCTCTGGTCTTGGGACACGTCCGTCCTGTGACCTGAACGATCCGATCAACTGGGAGCATTTCAGCTACGTACTGCAGAGAGAGACCAGTCACTGCTTTGCAGAGCAGGCAGCCAGTGGAGCTGTTTGAAAATGGGCTTATGTGGTTAAATGCAGCTGCATGGTGTATGAGTTGAAGCTGTTGGTGGGGGGGGGGGTCTTACAGGAAGAACAGTAATAAAGAGCATTACAGTAATTGATTGTGCTTGTGACAAGTGTCTCTGAGTCTGACTGAGATAGAAAAAAAACATGTTTGTGAGCTGATGGAAGAATTTGGAGACGTTGCTGATGTGTGGATATAGGTTCAGAGACTGGTTGCACAAAACCACTTAAGTTTTTTACTAAAGTAGGGCACTTAAGGTTTAATTTCTCCTTAACTGAGGGTCTCTTAAAAGGTTTAGTTATGGAAAAAGTTAAGGCATTTGCAGCAGTGAAAGATTTTAAACACATTTGTGTGAGAAAATGTAAGAGATATAAGTTCTGTGTTTGTAGAAAAAAATCTCAGATGTTTTATTTTGTACAAAAATAGTGTTGCTTCATTTTTTTCCCCGGTATATTCGAAAACTAAAAAAGACCTCAGTCAGGTCAGCAACAAAGATAACTCCCAGGTTCTGGACTGATGACAGGAGAGGTTGGGGGACAGAGCTCATGTGGAGTTCTCCTTCTCTGGTACAAGAACCTCAGGTGATTACAGAGATTTATAAAAAAAAGTGTGCGACTGACTCACCAGACTGATCAGGACCTGACTCCTCTCCGCTCTGTAAGGTCTTAATGACGACTCCACACTCCACTGCAGAGGGATCAGAATATTCTGTAAACACGTGTGTTAACATGCAGAAATCAGACACACACACACACACACACACACACACACGTGTGCGTGAGGCTGGTGTTTTACCCTGGTTAGTGAGAGCGGACGGCCCGTGCACCAAAGACTTGAGGGTCGTGCACTCGGACTCGCAGATCAGAGTTTTGACGAGTGGCTGGATGTCGTCCATACTGTGCTGCACCGCCGCCGACAGCATCCTCCTCAGGAAGCCTGTGTTAAACAGAGGGCCGGACCTGCACATACGCACATATCTGTAACTGCGCTACACCTGTGAAGACACTCAGACATAATGTAATCGGGGTGTCGTGTGGCGTAGTGGTCTAAGCAGGCGCCCCATGTGTAGAGGCTACAGTCCTCGCTGCAGTCGGCCCCGGTTCAAATCCCGCATCGGGCGGCCCTTTACTGCATGTCATTCCCCCTCTCTCTGCCTCCCTATTTCCTGTCTCTCTATACTGTCCTGTCCAATAAAGGCACAAACGCCCCAAAAAAATACTTAAAAAAAAAAGACATAATGTAATCCAACCCTAAAAACAAAGTCCTGCAATCTAAGCATCTCCCTTGTTGCATTCCCATTTTTAGTCGGTGTGACTACAAATGGCGCCACAGTGAGGAGCTTTTCAAGCAGATGCAGCGTTTAGTAACCATACATACATCTCACTGAGGTGTGTGTGTGTGTGTCTGTGCAGTGATGTTTACCATAACGGTCCCAGCTGCACTGCCGTCTTTCCAGGCAGACTTCCATGACAGTTACAGGGCAGCGTGTCTGGAAGAAACTTTGCATAGTTAACTTTCTGTTCTCCTCTGCAGAAAAAACATCAACCTAAACAACAACAGCTCAGGGCTTCATTCCGTATTTTGGCCAATTCACTTAATTAGCTACAGGTAACCAATGACAGGTGTCTTGATAGCCAGTGAGGCTGCCGGCCAAATGTTCACCAAACATGTCTACAGCTTGTAAAGACATTGTCAGTAATGTTTTAGTTATAATTAAAATTGCAGCTCTTGTGATATAAAAACTAGACCGTGTCAGCCATGATTCTGATGATGCTTATTATGCAGACTGGGTATCAGCCAGATAAATATATTTTAATGAGAAAGTAACAGTCGACCTTGACTGGGAAACTGGAAGCGTACGTTTGTGGTGAGCTAATGTCACCAAAAAAAAAAGACTTAATATTGTTTTTCTGTGTATTTTTCTGCACTTTTTTTCAAGAAGTGGTTTCAAAGCATTGCATGAATGAAGTAACTTTGACTACATGTTTAATAAAGCTTGATGAAGGAGTACGACCTGAAAAACAAGGTCAAACACACAGATGAACAGAATAATGAGGCACGAATGTCTCCACTACTAGTTGACAAGTGACTTTATGTATTGGAAACGTGTCCAATTGTGCTTCTCTAATAAAAACTATTCATCCTTCAGCCCCGATGCAGCGTGGACTGTTTGTATAAGCACACATTTATCTGCTGTGGCCACACAAATCATTCTACAGCATCACAGTTTTGCTTCAGCCAACTCAACAGACTGCTCCAAATGAAGCAGCAGAGAGCTCGTGCTTCCCTCGCTCTCGTGCTAAGTGTGCACCAGCCTTCTGTAACTCACCGTCCACCATGTTTCCTAGTTTGAGGAAGACTCTCTCCTCACACCACTGGCAGTGGACCAGTTTCCGTAACTTCTTGGCCGATTCATCAGCCTGCGTCGGTCCCCTGAGGACTCTCACCACCACCAGCACGAAGTGCTCCAGCGCGACCGCTAGCAGCACCTCGATGCCTTTGTTACAGCGGGCCGCCGCTCTGCGACACACAGAGAAATCAGGATTAAGTGTCAGTTTCAGTGTCTGTCTCCCATTAGGACACAGACATGAAACGAGAAGGCCTACCTGGCCACAGTGGCGATGACCATGCGAGCAGCCAGCTCTTTGTAGTACTCGGTGCGTACGATGTGACAGCCGTAGTGACGCAGGGTGACGTTGGGAGACTTGGAGTACAGGGAGCCGGTGTCTGTCGACGTCACAGAGATGATGCCCAGGTTACGGACATTTCTGAAGGCGGCGTCCAGGTAGTTCACTGCCGTCCCGAACGGATCCAAATGACTGATTAAATAAACACAAACAAGACACAAGTGTGTTTCTCTTATGTTGCAGAATTTAAAACGCTTCATGCATCAAGACTCGTGTCAAAGAACCTCAGCTTGTAAACCAGTGGAAACCCTCTTCTAGAAACAAGCTGCAATCAAAAAAAATGACTAAATGACTTAATTAACAGACTTGAAATAAGTAGTGAAAGTCTGGAAATGGAAGATAAACCTTTATCTTTCAACTTTAGTATACTTGAGACAGAACTGCAAAGACAGAGGCCAAATCTTCTCCCTCACATGTAGTCAAAAGGCCGCAGGTGCATGATGACGTTGGCGTCCATCTTAGCGACCTCCACCGCAGCAATGGGAACGCCCTCGACCTCGACGCTTGCCCCGTCGGGCCCCCGGGGGCCTCGCGAGCCTCCATCCACCCGGATGTGGTTCAGCTGGCAGTTCTCTTTGATCATTTTGACACATGTGTCGCTGATGTCCGTTATGGTCACTTTGACCGCATTGCGGAGGTGTTTCGCCCACTGGAGGCCCATGATCCCTGAGAGACGGACAGGAAACAGACAGCAGGGACAAGATGGAGGTTTAACTTTGTGCCGTGAGCGTCTGAAAGCAGAGTCCTCGTCCAACAGCGCGGAAGCAAAATCTACATTTAAGACTTTCTACTTCTTTAGAGGAGATGTGAAGCTTTCTGTTAGCCTGGTGATTATTTTCTCTATTATCCAATCCCATACAAAAACCTAATATGTGATATAAAATTGAATATATGTCCTTATATCATGATGTTGCCATATACTGAATGTCACCTATAAGGAGATATGTACATATATTAAAAATATATATAATAATTTTTTATAACTAACATGTTGCAACCATCCATGTTGATATATATTTAATTTATATGTGTTTATATATGTTTTTCTTTTATATTTACACTTATGATATTAATATATTGACAGGCTTTGAGATGGATATGTATGTACGTAACATATATCTACAATATAAACATACATACATAAACATACATATCTGTATGAGCTGGACACACATGTAAATGTATGAAATTGTTCCAATTTCTAACTGGTTTCATGTAGAATTTTGAAATATACTGTATGTACGCATTAAGAATATGTAAAAAGTTTTGTGGTATGTTTTCGTGCTGTTTTGTTGTGACAGGCGGATCCACACTGTCTTACCTGTGGCTCCAAAAGCGTCCAGACACTCCAGTGGGTTTCTCTCTTCAGCCAGAACAGCCAGCGAACAAAACACCAGCTGCCTGAGGCACAGACACACAAACACACTCAGCTCAGATCAGGATTAACGTCTTCACATGTGTGTGTGTGTGTGTGTGTGTGTGTGTGTGTGTATATATCACGTGTCTGTATAACTTGTCTGGTGCTCACCTGTTGGTCTTCATCTTGCGGTTGAAGTAGGTGTCGCTCTTCTGCGGGGTGGTGTGGTTCGGGAGGAGCTGGACGTTTGTCCCGAGCTCTTTCATGATTTCATACGCTTGACCTGATGGAGCTGCCGACACATTGATATCACACACAACCACCATCATGGCATCATTCATTTTTACCACTGTTTTGTCGCAATTGCATGTTTGGTTTGGAACATTAAGCGTAACAACTTCCTCTAAATCTGGAGTCAACAGCTTTTTCATGCAGCTGAATCTTATTAATGTTGCTCTGAGTATTAAACCCTGAAATTTACGGAAAAATTGCATGAGGGGCTTAAAAATTTGCCATTTAAAAATTACATAAATTTAAAAATTGGTCAGAATAAACAAGTAAACTTTATACTTTTAGTTTGAATAAATCAACTTGTGCTTTAGGAAAGTGGTATGTTCACAATTTTTTGATACGTTATAGATGTAATTAAGTGAGAAAATAATCAAGATTAGTATATATAGTAAAAAGATAGTAATAAGATAGTAAAATAAGTTAGTTTCAGCTCCTGTTGCATGCAACTTACACCTGTGATACTTGGTTTTTAACTGTGTGTATGCACTGTTCTCATACTCATCTGTGTACTTTGTGTGTAGGATCAGGATTAAAAGGGTTTATCCACTAGGGGGGGCGTCTGATTTTGTTCCAGACAACATCTTGTCTGATTTCCTTATACTGCTACAGTATGTTGTTTATATGTTGATCAGCTTCTTGTGCTGCGCTGGTGACGATAATTACCCGGCTCTTCAAACGGTACGTCCGAGCCGCCCGAGTAGCTGGCCTCAGTCTCTCCTTTGTTGACGTGGCGCTTCAGGTGGCTGATCATGTCCGTCTTACGGGCGATGGTGACAGAGCACACCACGCAGTGGTAGTGAGCCACGTGTCTCCCTGATGCCTGGAAACAGGTTCAGAGAAAAAACACAAAATGTGACAAAAAAGATAAAGCTTCACAGTAACAGGACAACGGACAGTCCACTCAAATCTCGATATCTATCTAACTAGCGTCTAGTTTCCTAATGTAATGTTCCTGTAATATGTTGTTGTAATTTAGCAGTAACTGAAAGTGTCTAATTACACAATTAAACAGTTTCCAATTATTTTCTGCTGTAACTTTGAATGTTTTGTCCTTTAATCCTGCTGTTAATTACAAGAAAAGGTCAGAATAAATAAATACTTACTCCTGTTAAAATGGATCTTCAGTTATCTTTACAGTTATTACAGTTTTAACCCTTTTTTCTAGACCATTCCACAGAAAGCAGGAATTTAATTGAATTACCTGCTTCTTACAAAATTGCCAATTGCCAACAAAATTGTTCCTACTAAATGTGCTGTCCCAGAATTTCTATTTTCCTTACAATAACACATTACACATAACATCACACAATTCTTCCCAAGAAACTTTAAAAAAAAAAAAAAAAAAAAAAAAAAAAGAGAAAATTAAGCAGACATGATCCTGATCCTGCTCGGAGCTGCGGTGGTAACGTGATCTGCAGACAGTTTGTGTTGAATCTCTCACCTGATCTCCACTGAGGCTGGGCTTCAGGTTTCTGCAGGGCAGGTGACAGATACACATCCTCTGGCCTGTTAAACATCGAGGGTCAAAGCTCAACACTTGCGTCGTTTGAATTAGGATTTGATGAGCAGCTTCGTGTTAAGACTGATTAACTGACACAGTAAAGCCCACTTTCACACAAATTTCTATGTTTTTACATGTTAATACAATTTCTGATGTTCCAGATCTGTGCAAGACCTCTGCGGAACATGGCCAAAAGTATGTGGACTCTCTTGTCTGTGTGCTGTTCTTATGGTTTGGCCCCTGAGCTAAGCGTGCATGTTTAAATGTATAAAAAGGGTTAAAAAAAAAAAAAGAAAGAAAAAAAAAGAAAATTTAGGTCTTAAAACTTATTTTATCAGACCAAAAACCAAAAATCCCAATGGCAGTTAGTTTACACCCATGTGAAAAAAATTAGATGCAGAAATTGCTCAATGAACAATGAACTAATTATAAAAATATCTGTCAATGATCTGGGTGGTTGTCATTACGTTTTGCTTATGTACACCCCTGTACATAAGCTGATGCTTATGTGGACCCCTGTCCACATACTTTTGGGCTGTTTTTCCTAGTTTGATCCACGTCTCCTAGTTCCGCTGAAGAGAAAAATGAATGCTGCAGCATACAGTGATATTTCAGACAACAGTGTTTCAACATGATATTGCCCCTGTGCACTGAACCAGCTGCACAAAGAAATAGTTTTCCCAGTTTGTTGTGGAAGAGCTTGACTGGTCTGTGCGGAGAGTGGAGCGTGTCGACGTGCTTCATCTTCCTACCTTCAAACTCCACGTAGACCTTCCAGTGCAGGTTCTGCAGGTGTCGGCGAAGTTTGTGGCTGTAACAGGCTTTAAACTTCTCCTCAGGACACAGAGGACATGACTTACGCCCCGCTGGAGAGTGAAAACACAAAATCAACGGGGCTGCAATTATTTTCATTATCGATTCATTTGCAGATTTCTTGATTAATCATTTGGTCTATAAAATGTCAAAAAATTGTGAAGATAGTTGAGTTTCCTAAAGACAAATATGACGTCATTTTTTACTGTCGCCTTGTGACAGCATCAGACTAGTTCATCTTTGGTATTTTTGCTTGAAAAATGACTCAATGTGTCATCTAATTCCTCGCCTATGTCATCTAATCTCATTGCTGAAGATTTAGTGAAGAACTGAACTCACCCCCATTGAGGTCAACCAGCATCTCAAGGCCCTCTAGCTTAGTTTGGATGGAGATGTGTCTCTCTGTCAGTAGAAAAGGAGAATGAGAACTTGTTATTCTATTATTAGAAAAAGTTTTGTCTGTAAATGTCTATCTTTAAAGTTTTAGACCACTGTCCACGTGAACAGATCGACACACACAAAGAGCTTTTATGAAATCACCGGTGGTTGTAGTCGAGGGTCTGGCGTCATTATCTGCAGCAGCTTCAGTCTCTGCAGCTTTGTCACCGGCTGAAGGTGCATCTCCACCATCGCCACCTTCAGAGACAGAGAGGCTGTTTTTGAATATTTTATACTGAGTACATCAACTCCAAGTTCTCAGCAGCATAGTTCATTAAATGTAAAATTTCACAAAAAATAGAACTGTGGAGTGGAGCTGGACTTCTTCAAACCAGCTTCTATCCTTCCACTTCAAAAAGCTGCAGTTTGAAAAATGTACTGAGTGGACAAAAAAAAAAAAATACTGACATCTTATTACTCAGGAATGAAAAAGTGAAAAAACATGTTTTGCTGCAAACATAAATAAACAGTCTCTATTATGGCTGGATCACATCTTGGCAGTGTGCTCTGTCAGAGGTTGTCTGAGTTCAGCCAAGTTGACTTGTACCGATTTCATTTCATTGTTAAAATTACAAAAATAAAATAATTAATTCTTGACAAATGACAGCTGTAACTGGTGGTTGTTGACATGATAAATTACTTTGGTTATTATTTGTCTGTCAATCTTGTTGATTAGTAATTTTCTGATAGGACAAAACATATCAAATATCTTTAAGGACTTTGGTGGCTCTGTGGGAATTTGACTGTTTGTATGGAAATAAATAAATAAATAAATAAATAAAGAGACGTTGTAGTACAATTATTACATTACATGGCATTGCAAAGGAGGCCATTAAACCGTATTCAAATAAAGTTGTATCAAATATAGTTTTAACTGTTATATGAACATAATAAAAGTGAAAGTTAAGAATATATTGTTCTCACAATCTTCAATTTCCGGGCAGTTTTCAAAGGTTAGCTGAGGCTGGTTAGTTGCCTTTCCTTTAGCTCTACAACTAAACCCGTCGTGTGCTGACGCCAGCAGCTCGGTAACGGTTAAACCGGTAATAAACGGACAGTTTGGAGTGTCCAAACTGAGCGGCTCTGCGGTCCTGTAGCGCAGCTCCGTGATGAGACCGTGTCATCTGAAACTGTCGTACAGCCCAGTGTAACACCCTGACAAAGCCTATGTGAACAGACTGTCACAAATGTAGATAGCCGGTGACTACGACGGTTCAGCTCAAACTAGCTCCAGCCCTTTTGTCCCTGTTGTTGTTGACTATTTAGGTCCTATGGCGGAGCTCCGTGGTGAGGCCCTCGTTCAGTTCAGCAGTTGCAAACTCAAATTCTCCGTGAATTCACTGTGCAGCTCATGGTGATGAGTAAACTACGATTAATGCTGCATTTCACCGTCCAAAAATCTGAGTTTAAACGAGAAACTAACGCTTTTTACTTACGTTTGATATCGACGTCCTCCTGGTGTAGCTGGGAAGCGTCCGCCTCTTTGAGCTCCGCCATTACTAACTACAGCAACATACGCAGGAAACGTTCTGTGCTACGTAGTTTACTCAAACTGCGTAGGTTTTAAAACGTAGCTGTTAAGTACCGGTACGTCGCTCAGTTTAACAGTCAAAAGAAACCGCAACTAAAAGCGTATTAAGCACATAAAACAATGAAATACATGTAAATAACTTACATGTAAATAACTTATGTATTCAGAGTAAGTAAAATACAGTTAATCATATTTTGTATATTTTGTATGCAAAATATGATTAACTATTTACTCAGTTACAATTCAAATCGGTAGTAATCAGAATACATTCTTAAAATCATAGATTACATAAGGGAATTACTTATTACGTCTGCATGATTCACTCTGAAATTTAAAAATATTTCTAGTTAGTAAGTCACAGTTGACAATTAGAGTTATGGAGTATTTTTTTTTTTTTTTTGGTTTAGTTGAACAGCAGCCTTTTACCATTGTTAGCATAGTAGCTACCTCTCTAAGCATGTCTACCTAACAAACAAAACACCAAGTGGGGACCAGCCACAACATGCATGACCTGTTGTGTATTTTCTTTGCCAATCATTCGTATCAAGTAATCTATGTACATGTGTGGGAAGTTTTAAATTATTTTTTTTATTTTTGCAGTCCTCATATATATATATATATATATATATATGTTTTTTTTTTTTACATAGAAGGTAAAAGCTGCCCTTTCTGGTGTTATTTTTTAAAGATTAGTTGTAAGGCGTCATATGAATGACAATGTGAGTCATATTGAAAAAGAAAAAGATCGAGCTACATTGCCTGCACCATTAAGAACAGTTTCTTTTGCAGAATTAACTTATGTAGTCTTTCTTTCAACATGTACATGTGGACACTAACACACAAAAATATGAATCAAAGATGAAAAATCCCCGGTGGCCAGAAAACATTAGTTGATTTCATGTCATTCCACTGGTGAGTTTAATTACTGACCTGTCACTCAAGGTAGACAGCTGCCACACTGGGTGGTGCAATGGAAGTATAGTCTGCCTGTTAGGTAAACACCATCAGTGAATGGGTGAATGTAGCTATGTAATTGAGTGTGAGGAAGGACAGTGCAAGTATGTATGACAGTTTACTCCCTGTCATCACAATGTCCAACACAAAACATGATCAAAGAATATCTGATGTGTTCTGTCTTCTGCTCATTAACTGACACATGACCTGCAAAAATAAAATTCAAATGAAAAAATAAATAAATCAAAGTCAGTGATTCTGTCAGGGCTGCGGTAAAGTGTGCACTCACAAAGTGATAACAATAACCAGCAGCTGGTAATCACTTCCATGAAACAGCCTATGACAGTTTCCTAGAACTAAGGATGATTTTATCATCTTGTTGTTTTGGCCAACAAAGAGTCTAAACCTGAGAGATTCAGGTTACTATCAAGTCAGACAAGCTGAAGCCATTTTCGCTCAGTTTGTGAGTTTTTATTTTTTTGCACACAAAATGACCCTAACCCTAACCCAACATTTATTAATAGCTACCCATTAATTTTCTTTTGGTCAGCTAATCAAGTAATTGATTAATCATTGCAGCACCAAAATGGCAATTTCGGGAATTTTCATTTAAATAAGTGTCTTTTAAGTCACAATCGCCAAATGAGGTAACACAACAGAGGTTTGCTGCCCTGCGCTCTATGGATCAGATGTGCTCTGTTACACCACACTTAACAGTGATGTCACAAAATCCTGGAGTAGGCCTACATCATTTCTGCAACGTGAGACGTTAAATCAATATATGTCAGCAAAAACAAGATTTTCCTCATGATGTTTCAGTGATATTTCGGGTTATTTGATGTGGGGTTGTGTGAAGTACTTACCTATTGTTAATGTGTTACCTGCAGTAGATTCGTATCACTGTGCTCCCAGTTTAGAGAAGCAGCCGGGAGCACCGACACAGAAGCCGAGTGATGAGCTGCTGTGGGGACAGACCCTCCACAAAAATGTGTCTTTAAAATAAATGCCCACAGAAAAAAGCTGATATTAGTGGAAGTGTATGCTTCACTTTCAATATTTTGACCACTTTATCTTGCCGTCAAACAGCCCTTTCCTTTGCAACTACATTTTTTTCAACCGTTGATCTACCTGACTCAAACAGCTGATCTGTGAAGTAATAAAGTGCCTGCCGTAGTTGCGCTTACTAGGTGAGGTTTTAACATAAGTCCCGGATGGATTCCCGGGACTACAGTGACCAGGATTGTCCTTTTGTAACACACAAAGACATGTCCTGAAAGAAAAAAGAATGTCACATGTAAGGATGTGCGTATGTGTGACACAAAACCTACCTGGTGCAGACATACAATAAATTGTCAATGGCCTTTTATTGAAGTATAAATAGAAAGTGGCTGTGGCATCTGTTCAGCAACAACAGGTGTGGCAAAGTTGCGAGAGAACAACACACCACCATCTAAAGAACAATCCTATGTTTACCTGATTTGACACAGATCTAAAGATACAATGAGAATTATACATCTTTAATGAAGCCCTTTTGTATTTCACAGTCAAACCTAAGTCCAATAACTCAGATTTATCGTGGTTCAATGAACCAGACATATTTACATTAAATTAATGAGAGAATTAATTCCTATATAATGTTTTACAGTTCAGTTACTTTACACCACTGGTGAGTTTTAATTACTGATCTGTCACTCAAGGTAGACAGCTGCCGCACTGGGTGGTGCAGCGGGAGTATAATCTGCTTGGTAAGATAAACACCATCACTGAATGGGTGAATCAAGCTGTGTGATAATAGAGCATGAGACAGGGTGGAGCGAGTATGTCAGACAGTTGCTCCCTGTCAAAACAATATCCAACACAAAAGATGATCAATAACGAACTTTTGACGTGTTTCTCTTTGTCTTTTGCTCACATGACACGAAACAACAAATTACAAAAGAAAAACATGCTTTCTACTGTGAGAATTATTACGTCACACGTATTTTAACCTCTGGAACGTGATATCTCGAGACCGCTTTGACAGAATTTCATTAGATTTGGCACAAAAACATTCACTTGGACTCAAGAATGAACTGATTAGATTTTGGTTGTTAAACGTCAAGGGTCAAGGTCACTGTGACCTATGACCTATCAACAAGATACACAAAAGTTAAATCATCCTCATTTACATGTGGAATTTAGAAATTTAAACTTCATGCTTTTAGTTTAGGTTCACAATACCTAACAAGTAATCACTGATAAAGGTTAAAAGGGTGTGGAAAGGAAAGTTGACATGTTTTCAACACAACAAAAGAGGGGTTGGCTGTCTGAATGATCATGCTGTAAAAATGGGAACACACCCAATCCCTGACGTTTATACGCATGCAGTGGTCGTAAATGTATTCAACACCTGTAGAGTATATAAAGAGTTGCTGATGAGTTGAAGTGTCATGATCCAGGAAAACTAATCTGCAGTGCTCACCTCCACATCATGATGAAGCTGATCCTCTCTCTGACTCTCGTCTGGGCGCTCTCCAGCACAGGTAATGCTACTTCTTCTTACATTAGAGTTGCAGCAGGTACAACTGAAATTAATTTAAAATATTTAGGAAGTTCTACATTTTACCAGAACCATAAAATTATTTATTATATAATTTAAATAACAACTAAATACTAAATAATAAGCGTCTAGCAGTGTATATTAGAAACTTTAAAAAGTTTTTAAACATTACAACAATTTTGTCTTAAAATCTTTGTGAACAGCAACAATATTTAGATTTATGAGTATTTATAAACCATCAAACCCCTTTAACCCTAAAGACCTCACACATTTCACTCAACAGTTTTTCACTATTTTTCTCTCCATTGCAGCTGAAGCACTCATGTGTCAAACTTGCACAGATCAACAGTGTTCAAGTTCAGCCCTACTCCCATGTACCTCAGAGACGATGTGTATAACAGCTTCCATTCAAGGTAGTCTTTTCTTCATGTCCATTACTTTTCAGTGTAATACATGTACTGCAAAGTTACGTGTGCTTTCCATCAACATTAACAAACTGCTCTTTGACTCTGTAGCTGTTTCATCTGGAACTCCAGCACAGCAAATCCTCAAGTCGTGTGCATCGTCCTCCCTGTGTCCAGCAACAGGCTCTCAGACATTTTCAGTGAACTTGGGTGTTCAAAGTGCAGTTGCATCTGCTCAGTGCTGCAACACAGATAACTGCAACTCAGCAACAGTACCTTGTAAGTACAGGTGGATGACTGTTTATTTAATACAAGATGATATAGATAAGGAAAGAATATCGGAATCCTTCTTCTGACATGTTCTGTTTATGACGCTTAAATGTTCTCTCTTCCACAAATAAATGTTGTTCTTTTCTGTTTCAGTCCCTGCTGCTCAGTCAAGTAACAGCCTATCATGTTTTTCTTGTAACCCCGTCACCTCTCAATGCACCACTCAATTACAGTGTAGTGGAGTGGAGGACCGCTGTTTTCAAGTGAATGGTGAGTCTTCTTTTACTACATTTATATCACATCTATTGTGACTACAGATTAAAATCTTTGCTGAGTTTGTGAGTTTTTGTTTTTTGCTCAGAATGACTTTTTGACAATTATTGATAGTTTTGCATTAATTTTATTTTGATTGACTAATCAAGGAATGAATTAATTATTGCAGTTCTAAATTCTAAATTAATAGTATATTTACACTGTGCTTCTGCTACTGCCACTTAAAGAGTAACTTATCACCAGACTGATAAAAGGTGTACTGCTGCCCTGTGCTGGTTGAAAGTTTCAAACCTGTTTTCACCTCTGAAAACAACCAACACTGTACATGTTGGCTGTGACTGGATGTGATGATCAGATGTGCTCTGTTGAGCAACAGTCCCGGAGTACACTTGTACATCACTTCAACAAGTTTAGACATTAAACCACTTGATGTCAGAAAAAACTAACTCGTGAAGCAAAAGTTCTTAAAAATCTTCCAGGAATGAACTGACAGTAATTGTATTTGTACAATAACACAGTGATTTTTCATATACAGTGGCGAGTGGGTCCACCACTTCTCCAGCCTTTGGCTGTGCATCTACAAACCTGTGTGCAGCTGCTTCCAGCCTGGGAAGCCTACCCTTCCTGCAAAGTGCTGGTAACATCAGCAGTGGACCAACCTGCTGTGACACCAGTTTGTGTAATACTGTCACAACAACAACCGCTGCCCCAACAACAACAACCGCTGCCCCAACCACAACAACCGCTGCCCCAACCACAACAACCTCTGCCCCAACAACAACAACTGCTGCCCCAACTACAACGACAACAACCACTGCCCCTACAACAACAACCACTGCACCAACTACAACAACCACTGCCCCAACCACAACAACCGCTGCACCAACCACAACAACCACTGCCCCAACTACAACTACAACAACCACTGCCCCAACAACAACCTCTGCAACACAATCAGCCACAACTACAACAACTGCCAGTGATGCCTGTTGTATCCGATTGGGCATGATCCATCTGCTGCTTGGTCTCCTTGTCTTTACCCTCTATTAGAACACAGGGAACACCTATGAAGCCACCAGAAGGACTCTGCAAGAAGCTTTTGAAGCCTTGAATTGGGTTTATTGTTCTCTGCGGTCATTAGTTGGAATCATAGGGGCTAGAAAATCCAAATTCAGGAAAAAGCGGATGTAGTTTGGGCAAAGCTGGTGGAATAAAAAGGAACAGATGTAATAGACACATACATGACCACATAACAGAGAGAAAACACTTTCACAGATTTAATTTACTTGGTATGTTCTTGCTGGGGATTAGTGGATTGAATGCTTTAACAATTGTTAATAGTTAAGTTTTGTTTCAAATTGTAGTAACATAATACTTGATAATATTCAAGACTGAAATAAATGAATGAAAACACTGACAATGCCCATCTTGTGTTTTGTTAAATGTTTTGTTTTGTCTGAATAATAGTCTACAACAATTTAAACACAGATCAGCATATGCTGACAATAAAGCCTCTGGGACCAGAAAATGTTGAGCAATTTGTTAAAAAAAAACAAAAAAAGCAAAAAACTTAAAGGATGATTGAGTATTAAAATAACTTTCCTGTGGATCGGATCTACTAATTGTCATTTCAGCTCAAATCAAGCAAACATCTATCCATGCAGGATATGGAAAGAGTAGAGATGGATATAGAGGTAGATAAGGGAATAGCTGTCCTTATCAGGCTAGAGAATACAGGACTTAAAAACATTTTTCATATCAAACAAATAAAGTAACCAAACAAATAAAGTTGTGGATCACACCACAACTGTGATACCCAACACAACAAGTCCTCCAACCTGAACAACCATATAGTTGGTTTTTTTCAACCCTTTGATACGACCCATAGGAGTGTCTCCTGAAATAGCGACCCTACAGCGGCATGCGTGCCGGACCTCGGTTGTCATGGTTACCAGAATCAACACATGTTAACCCGTTGCCCCTTTAAAAATGCGTACTATACAACAGCTTTGTTTTTTTGTGCCATGGGTAAGTGCACCAGTGCAAGTGTACCTGTATACTCACTCACTCTTGACTGACTCCATGGTAACCATATGGCTGTGGATCACACAATATCCTTACTAAAGTAGAAGTACCAAGAACTGGCAAAATAAAAGCTCTGCTAGAAGTATCAATCATTTCAAATTATTTGATGTGCAAAACCCTGTACAAATTTAACAATATAATGGTAATAACCAAATAGTTGTTTATCCATGCAGTTATGCATGCATAAAGCTGTTCCGTCCTACTTCACTGCATACTACCTGTTCAATTAGATACAGGTGTGTACAAATTTCAGGTATCAAAATATTTATGATGACTATTGCATGAGGGGCTTACACCGTCAATATATTAACTTTTCGTATAATATTAATGTTCAGAGGAGTAATAGACCTGTGTAAGAGATGCACATCACAGCACAGCAACAAACGACTTGAACACACTGTGGTGAGGAAAAGTAGACAGTATACAGGGCCTGCGTAATCCCACCGATAGTAATAACAGTAATCAACACAATTTATATAATAATAGTTACCACATTCCTAAAAGTAAACATAGTACAACTTTGTTGCCTTTTGTTGAAAATAACAACTATTTTCCCTGTATTAGGTCAGTTAATTATAAGGGGTACATTTTAGCACGGTAAAGCTACAGATGTAACCTATTTTGCAACCTATTTTACAGTCTTTTGCGCATCTTAATCAAGGGAACCCTCAGTTCCATAATGTTGACGATGTGATAAATTATATGACATGATATGATATGATATATGCTCTAACAAATGCTACACTATTTGGCATTGATTGCCTGAGTGAGCATCAGCAGTAACGCTAGCTGATGATGGTCTCACTTTATGATGCCTTTATCTTATTATTATCATCCACTTTAATGGAATTAACGTTACTCAGCATCATTATCAACATCTCGGCACACACAGCCAAACGTTACTCTCTGAGTGTCCCTACTCTCCTCCTGCCCACTGTGCTCCTCGGCTTCCCTGTACCTCTCCTGCATCTCTTCCTCTCCTCCTTCCACCTGTTGCTGAAAGACGCCGTATAAGTTGAGGTTGTTCTGAAGCAAACAGATGTGGGTTTTTGGCACACTTGGCGGCCTCTGCATGTATTGTTATTATTTCCCGCACCTCCCTTCTCCTGTTTTGGATGACGCTGTCCGTCCATTTTGAACGTCTCCCTCCTTCGTCCACAGGTGTATCGCTCTGAGCGGCGTTTGACACTGAACACAGAGAGGACAGACAGGGAGGGGTGGGGCCAGCACAGGAGGAGATGTGCCAGAAATGGGCCAGAAAAAATGAACCAATGGGCCGTTGCCCCAATTATATGGGCCGGTTGTTGATGTTTGTGTNGGCCCAAAGGTGAGTCAGCCCAGATGAAAGGCCCAGCCTTGGGTATAGACACAAAAACTACTACTACTAAAAATCGTGATTTGGGTTTAAATAAGTAATTACTCAACATCAGACGATCTTTGTTGTCATAGTTACAATAACAACAACCAAACGGTTGAAAAAAGAAAAAATGCGAGCTACATTGCCTTGCACCATTAAGAACAGTTTCTTTTGCAGAATTAACTCTTTGTTAGTCTTTCTTTCAACATGTACATGTGGACATAACACACAAAATATGAATCAAAGATGAAAATCCCCGGTGGCCAGAAAACATTAGTTGATTTCATGTCATTCCCACTGGTGAGGTTAATACTGACCTGTCACTCAGGTAGACAGCTGCCACACTGGGTGGTGCAATGAAGTATTAGTCTGCCTGTTAGGGTAAACACCATCAGTGAATGGGTGAATGTAGCTATGTAATTGAGTGGTGAGGAAGGACAGTTGCAAGTATGTATGACAGTTTACTCCCTGTCATCACAAGTCAAACACAAACATGATCAAGAATATCTGATGTGTTCTGTCTTCTGCTCATTAACTGACACATGACCTGCAAAAATAAAATCAAATGAAAAAATAATAAATCAAAGTCAGTGATTCTGTCAGGGCTGCGTAAAGTGTGCACTCACAAAGTGATAACAATAACCAGCAGCTGGTAATCACTTCCATGAAACAGCTATGACAGTTCCTAGAACTAAGGATGATTTTATCATCTTGTTGTTTGCCCACAAAAGACTCTAAACCTGAGAGATTCAGGTTACTATCAAGTCAGACAAGCTGAAGCCATTTTCGCTCAGTTTTGTGAGTTTTTATTTTTTTGCACACCAAAATGACCCTAACCCTAACCCCAACATTATTAATAGCTACCATTAATTTTCTTTTGGTCAGCTAATCAAGTAATTGATTATCATTGCAGCACCAAAATGGCAATTTCGGAATTTTCATTTAAATAAGTGTCTTTAAGTCACAATCGCCAAATGAGGTAACACAACAGAGGTTGCTGCCCTGCGCTCTTATGGATCAGGATGTGCTCGTGTTAGACCACACTTAACAGTGATGGCACAAACCTGGAGTAGGCCTGCATCATTTCTGCAACGTGAGACGTAAAATCAATATATGTCAGCAAAACAAGATTTTCTCATGATGTTTCAGTGATATTTCGGGTTATTGATGTTGGGGTTGTGTGAAGTACTTACC